TATTTCTGGGCTTGGTAAGTAAGCCAGGTCCCTGCTAGACATGGCCTGAGAAGAGCAAAGCCAGGAGTGATAGCTGATGATTATTTTTTAACTGAGGAAAGAAGATCCTTGAGAACAGAACCCCTTGGGACCTTCTACCCAGAACACCAGAGCACCTCACAGGGATCAGAGCCAGGCCCTCAGGTGGATTAAGCAACTAAAATTGATTGTCCTGAACCATGAGTCTGTCTGTTTATGGGGAAAGAAACTTTGTGATGAATTAATCCACAGGTCCAATGGGACTTTGACCTTTTAATTTGTAGAAATAAAACTTGCCTTTGATTTTGCCATCTGGATTCCCCAAATACATATCCACAGAGGGGAACTGTGGTACCCCTTGACCTGCAGGGTGGCCCCAGGCCTGCCATGCTCCACTGGCAGTTGCCCAGGAAGGTGTGTGGGAGTTGGCAGGCGTCAGTACGAAGCTGCAGCTGGTGTGTGTCTTGTTCAGAGCCTTTCTCACAAAGCTCGTCCTGACCAATCCCTGCTCTGCCCTCTGTGTTTGTTTCCTGTTGCCTAGACACTAGGATAGAAGGAGTCAAAGGGAAGGTGGTGCCACAGGGGTGGGGCTCAGAGGCAACAGAGCTCTGCTAGGGCTGCAGGGACAGCAGAAGTATTACCTGGCAGGAGAGCAGCAGGCCCAGCCCAAGGGATAAACTTGAAGATTCCCCATTCTCCCAGTTTCCTCCTCTCCCTGAAATGCTCAGGAGAGTCCTGTGTTTCTAGAATGACAGGCATTTCCCCTCAGAGTCAGGATGCATAGCAGCCAGGGTAGGAGATAGCTGAAGAAATATCATGTAAAAGGAGTCTGGCCCTGCCTTGTGTGGTCCCAAAGAGCAGAGCTCGGTCCACGCGTTGGATACACAGGAAGACACATTGACTCAATATTAAGAACCTTCTGGGCATCGGGGCTTATCTGAGATGGTTTGGGTTGCCTTTTGAGGTAGTGAGTGCCCTGTCTCTCAGGATGTACAAGCTCAGATTGTCCAACCACTTGACTAGAGTTTGCAAAGGATATTCAAGCATCAGAGGGTCTTTGGGGTCCCTTTCTGCTTTGAGATTCTAAGATTTGGTGCCCATCTCCACTACACAGGGACAGTCTTTTCCAGGGACCATGCAGGAAAGCCCATTGGCTCTGGACAGTTTCTTCCAGGCCCCGCCCTTCTGCTCCCCACTTCCATTCACCCCCTTCTGACTCTTCTTTCTGGGAGTCTCCTGAGAAAACCCTCTAAAATCTCAACCCTACTCTTGTCCAGCCTCAAAGTTATCAAAAAGTATTGAGATGATGACTACCCCTTTCTTAAGAGGACATGGGTGAGAATTCAAAAAGAAACATGGAGCTTGCACCTCAAGGAGAATTTCCCAACTGGGAGGGGACAGGTTTGGGGGACAGGACCGAGGGAAGGTCTGAGCTATTTAAGCCAGACAAATCAAGAATAACTCTACGGTGTCAGAAATGAGGACCTTCCAGGTAACCTTGGCATGATTTCCCCTGACATATCTCAGAGTCTGGTAGGGGAGGCAGGTTGCCGTAGGCAGCAGCCCAGGAGGGGAAGAGACCTATGGTCTGCAGTGAGCCATCTGCCTCTTCCACAGTTCTCCACCAGGCTCCCACTCTTTGCAGGAGCAGCAGTTAGGAGGACAGAGAGTGAGAAACAGAGTGAGGAGCTCACTGTCCCCGAGTCTCCACAGCCTACAAATCCAGACTTCTTGTCTGAGGCTCCAGCGTCTCCTTCCACCATCACCTAAACCACGGTCACTCTTCCTCACCCTGAAAGCCCTGTCTGTCTTTGAACTCTCTCAGCCCCTTTCATCTGAGCCTAATCCAAATGCTTTTACTGAGACCAAGTCATGTCCAGCTGTGACTTGAGTCTTTCAGGGGTAGTAAAGAACATCCCAGCACCCCACTGAGGAAGGGACAGCATGGCTTAGCTACCAGGGCAGCTGCTGTGTCACATCCAGCTAGAGCCACTTCTGCAGCAGATACGAAAGTACTGAGATCGCCTCCAACCCACAACAGGATGTGGTGTGGGCAACAGGCACATGTGGGCGGGTGGGACATAGAGCCCAGCCAGGAGCCAGGAGGCACATGCCTGGGAGGCAGCTGCCTGCAAATCTGACTCAGTGCCCCAGCAGGGAGCCCAACCCCTGGATTCTCTAGAGTGGACTAGTTCAGTCTGACATCATAAGGGCTGGAAGACCCCCAAGGCAGAAGACAGGGGGCTGGGAAGTCCACGGGAAGTTAATATGTACCTTTATACATAAAATAATGTAAAAAGTAGATGTGAAAAGATCAGATGCCCATATAACAATGTCAATAATAGTGTTGGCAATTAAGAAAAAAGGCTTTATGTTAACAAAGACGATGCAGCAAACTGCATTTCCTGCTTATCTCTTACAGCCTCTCACACAGCCCTGTGTTGGTTCAGTGGCGTAGGGAATACACAGAGCTCACCATCTACCCCTTTGAGCATGAAAAGGAGAAAACTGAAACCTCCTCAGCAGAAAGCACCCCACTGAAGGTCTAACCTCTAGTAGCAAGACTGAACCTAGGAACCCACTAGAGTCCTCAAAAGAATGCCCATTTTCTCTTTGTCTCCAGGCCCTAGCCTCACTCTGCAGGCTAAGCTCACACAGTGTCCTGCTGGGTCTGCCACTACTATCATGCAGCCTAACCCCACCAGCCCCCACTTGACGCCAGGAAATTTCTCTGTAATTATCCCCACTGCCATTCCTGAATGAGATTGGTAGAGGGTTTATAAAAGATTGCCCAGATGTAGTTGACTGGCCTCAGATCCCAACTGCCTGCCCAGCTCTCAAGAGTGTCAGGCATCTTAGAACTAGTTTCTTACTGGTTCAGACTAGCTCTGGAGCCCATGAAAGCCTGGGTGTGACTTCTTAGGAATCCCAAGAGAAGAAACTGAACCTCTCTTCCACTTCATGGGCCAATTCCAAGATGGAGAACTCCTGATGAGAGTGGAAGGGTCAACCCTGGGGCAAAGCCCTGAGATTCTCTCCCAAACCATCTTCGCTTGCTCAGAAGCGGCTATATTCTCTCTTCTCCAAAGCCAGCCTTTATTTACATAACCTATAACTGCCCCTGTGTCCAGGCCCAGTCAAGACAGTCTCACTCACTTTTAGTAAGGCTTTGGGATCTTCCAGGACCCAAAGACCTATATTTTCACTAGCAGCAGCTCTGGTCAAATGCTGGCCTTACTTTCAACCTGTGGTGTTGGCCCATTTTTGTCTAAGTGGGCTCAGAAGTTAGCAGTGGGTGTGGAATCCCCTTTCTCCTCAATCCTTTCTCCACAGTGGCCCATTTTTTCCAGCTCTGAGATAGATGACTTAGGTGTGAGACTAAGCAAACTCTAAGCACCCAGGATCTTTCTGGCTTTCCTGGGAAAGAATATCTCCTGAACTAGGCAAAACCTTGTTCCCTGGTCCCTACAGCATCAGCTAAGCAACAGGTGATGCTCAGAACCTTTGCCAGTGTGCCAACTGCAGACAAGTCCCGGAATCCTCAGCGGCATTGCCATGTCTTCTCTCCCATCCGAGGCTGGGTACCACATCTTCCCAAGACCCCTAGGGAGGAAGGCCTCAGCTTCTCTAGGAAGGAGGGTTGCAGTTAGGGGTGCCAAGCAGGGACGGTGAGAAAACCTCTTTCCCAAACAGTTGGTGGGGCGGGGCAACAATCTTTCCTGGTGGGAAAGGTGGAGAGGGCGCCTGGGGAAGCTGTGGCTGTCCAGAGGAAAAGGAAGCACAGGAAACAGCTTACCGACTCTCCCTGGGCCCCATGAAAAGAGGACTCTTGCCTGAGGCCCTCGTAACCTGGAGTTGTAAACACCAGGACGCACCCAGCAGCTTCCTTGACCCCTCTGGTGCAGGGCCCATCAAGGAAGGCAAGACTGGGCTCTGGATTTGAGAGATGAAACCATCCCCAGGGGTAGAGAGGTACCTCATCATCACAGCAGCTGGAGGAAAGCCCTTTCCCCTAGGCATACAAAAACAGGGACATGGCTCCATCCCTAGAAGCTAGCAGTCCAGCCCCAAAGGAGCACCTGACAACCAGGTGAGAGGCCAAAAAGGCAGAGATGATGCCAAAGGTACAAGAAATTTGGTGGAGGCAGCTCAGGGGAGAAAACAGGAGCAGACTGACATAAATGAGAGGTTTCTGAGGGGGCAGAGAGGTCTGTTGTGCTCAGTGAGTGCCTGGAATGTACCTGGCATGTAGTAGGCACTCAGTAAGTATCTGAATAAGTGAATGAATGATGAAAGTATAGTTTGCGGCAAAGTGAGAGAAGTTAAAAACAGATGAAAATTGTTTGGGAGCCCCACCTATGGGAGTGAGGTCGACTGAGGAGAGCCCAGCCACAGGAGCGGCTGAGTTCGGGTGAGGGGACTGGACTGGCAGGGTGGGGAGTGTAGGGCTCTCAGTGTGCCCTAGTAGGGGATGGGCCAGTGTCTGTGTTGCAGCATTGCCTGGAATTGAAAGGGTTCTGGTGGGAGAGAGCTGAGACGGGCACAGTGAGCCCCAGGTTCAAACATCACTCCCTCCACAGATGTGATCTGAGTCATGGGTGTGATCCTAGTAAGAGTCCTGCCTCACCCGGCCCTGGTGCCTCCTTCACCAGCTCCACCTGGCCAAGCCTTGCCCCAGCCCCTCCCTGAGAGGCATCTGTAGCTGTGCCTCAATGCCTGAAATGCTTCTGAACTGGGCGTCAGGGTGGAGCAGAGACAAGATTGTGCTGAAGGTTCACATCCCAGGGAATCACAAAAAGGCCAGGAGATACCAGGACAAAGGGACCTCCTGGCTTAGGAGAAACCATCATAGAAGCATCTTCCCATTCCCTTACCCTCAGCACCATGCCACCCACACTCGGGTCCCCTACAGCCTATTTTACTCCACTTCAGTACCCTGTAGCAGCCACATTCCCACAAGAAAGCCAAGCTGTTCCTTAGATAAGTCAAATAGATTTAATCTGTAACTATGAAATGTCTAGGTTAGCAGCAATTACAGATACCCAGAAACTGGGCAGAATCTGTCCCCCGAAGGCATCCTGAAGGCCACAAAGGCTCCCCTTAGTTCACAGAGGTAGCTGGCAGGATGTTAGCTTTGCGCTCAGCTTCAATGCAGTACTTCTCGGGAAGGCCAGTGGCTCTGCCGGGGAAATGCAGGCAGGTATAAGGAAAGGTGCTGGACCAGACAGGAGGCGGGAGGAAGCAGGCTCTGGGTGGGGTTTACAGAACCTGGAGGACTGCATCCCCCAACACTGCTCTCATAATCCACCACCGAAACATATATTCATGCCAAGGCTCTAGCATCCTGCCAAGGAGTTCCCAGAGAGCCAGCAAGACCCCATCCCAGGACTTTCTGCTGGAGCCCCCTTCTGAGGGATGAGGCCTGGGTGGGGAGAAGGGCCTCTCCCTGAGCATCTCTGCCATGGCCTTTCACCACCAAATCCCATGCTTTCCAGGCTGTGGTGCCATCTCTTTGGGGGAGGGAGGAGGATCTGGGGAAGGAGGAGATTACAGCGCACCTCAGCTCTTCAAGCTTTTTCCTCTTGATGTCATCGATGCGCTCACGGCGTTTCTGGGCCTCCTCTTTGAGGCGCCGGCCGTCCTCAAAGGTGGCAATCCGGTTCTGCACCTGCTTCTGCTGGTTCTCTCGCACCTGGCGCCGGAGCTCGTTGGCATGCTGTAAGCGCCCTGTGGCCTTTTTCTCCTCCTCCAGCCGCTCCTTCTCAATCTGTTCTCTCTGAGCCCTGGGGGAAGGAAACAGGAATGCAATGAACTCAGCTGAGCTGACCCAGGCCAGGAAAAGTGGTGGGGGAGCCTCCTGGTTGGGCTCCTCCAGTAGACATGCCTCAGAGACCGCAGCCCTCTGTGCTCCAGCCCCATTTGGTAACTCAAAGATCAGCCCCAGAAGCTGCTGCCCATGCATCCCCCCTTCTCCCACCCAGCGAGAACTAGCTCCAGGGTCGCATGACTGGATGTCATGGGCATGCTTAGAAAGGCCCCCAGTTTGGTTTGATGCTCTGCTTTCACTGTTTTGAAATTCTTAAAAATTTTTGAACAAGGGAGTCCACACTCTCTTGCTCTGTCACCCAGGCTGGAACACAGTGGTGCTATCATAGCTCACCGCAGCCTCAACCACCTGGGCTCAAGTGATTCTCCCACCTCAGCCTCCCAAGTAGCTGGGACCACAAGAGAGTGCCACCACACCCAGCTAATTTGTTGTTTATTATTTGTAGAGATGAAGTCTCATTATGTTGCCCAAGCTACACATTCTCAATTTTCACTGGGCCCTGAAAATTATGTAGCCAGTCTTACACCCAGGGTTTCACCCACTGGGAGCTATTGTTCCTACTTCTCCCTGATAACAATGCGTAACTCCTCTCCAGCATATCCTGAGATTTCTTCTCTCTCCTTCCTTCCTTCCTTCCTGCCTGCCTGCCTTCTTCCTTGCTTCCTTCCTTCCTTTCCTGCCTCCCTCCCTCCCTCGATGCTTGGAAACGTAAAAGATGCGGTAAAGTGTCATGCTAACTCCACCCTGGTTAGTGGAAGAAGGAAGGAGCTCATCCTGATATCTCTCAGTTCTCTTCCTGATCCACCTCTCCAAATTTCCCTTAGAAACCTCTTCCACAAAAATATTTCATGGACCGTGACATCAGGGAGAAAATCACTAATGGCAACAGGAAAGGCTTAGAAAACACTCAAATGAAATGCATTCACATCTCAGAAAAATAATGCATTTATAGGCCTTCTTAAGCTAACATCTAATTTTGTTCTCAACATAATATTAAAAATGAAATATAAAATCATCTTAGGCAGGAATTTCTCACCTGCTCTCCTCCCCTAGAGTCACTGATACCCCAACAAAATGTACCTACAACACTGCTTCATTTCCTCATTTCCCTCTAGCTTTCTTCCAAGATCCACCACACACGCGGCATCCTCTCTACTCCCAGCAACTCTTTCCATCATGCAAACATCTCCTAAAATTCTACACCTTCTACAGAGACCTCCCAGTTTACCTGAAGAGAACTGCTGGCTTCCTCAGCCCTCTGTATTTAGACACCAAATCCTGACTGCCCAGACACATCTCTGATAGCAGGAAGTCTCTCTCCTCTTTGCCTTGCCATTGTTTTCCTGTATTTAGAACAGTTTTCTATTGTTTCACCCTCTTCTGAGTGAAGGGGTAAGTGTGGAAAAGGGGGACTTGTATGTGTCACTAGAGAGCCCCGGTGGTGCCAGGCAGTTGAAAATCCAAGTGAGGACGAACCTGGTTGTTCCATTGGGTTAGGGCAGTGCTCACAGAGCCTAGCTACGTTTTTGAATCACCTGGGAGCTTTTGAAACATATTCACGCATGGGCCTCATCCCAGACCATTTAAATCACAATCCAGGAAGTGGAGCCTGGTCATCATATTTTTCAAAAGCTCCCAGACATTTCTAAAAACCACTTGGTAGGGGAAGTCAGCTATCTCTGCTTAGTCAACAGGCTGAGAAATATGGACATCCCTCTGTCCAGAAACAAAAGTCCACATATAGGCTGGGCGCGGTGGCTCACGCTTGTAATCCCAGCACTTTGGGAGGCCGAGGTGGGCGGATCACGAGGCCAGGAGATCGAGACCATCCTGGCTAACACGGTGAAACCCCGTCTCTACTAAAAATACAAAAAATTAGCTGGGCATGGTGGTGGGGGCCTGTCGTCCCAGCTACTCGGGAGGCTGAGGCAGGAGAATAGTGTGAACCCGGGCGGTGACGGTTGCAGTGAGCCGAGACCATGCCACTGCACTCCAGCCTGGGCGACAGAGCGAGACTCCATCTCAAAAAAAAAAAAAAAAAAAAAAAATCCACAAATAGGCCATACAGGAGGCCATGCTTCTGAAGCAGAGAAAGTTGGATTTGGGCAGCGGCAGGGAAGCTTTTGAGTGAAAACATCCACCACGATGGTCACATGGCCCTGGAGACACTAGGCCTGGATACTAACCTACAACAACAGGTAAAGTTGAACTTCTCCAAAAAGGCTGGTCTAGCTTTAATAACTGGCTAGTGCATATGCTCTAGGCAAATGATGCAAAGGAAAGACAAATGGATCAGTAGCAAAAGTAGGACTTAAATTTCTTTTCATTAATATTTATTAGTGCCTGTTAACAGCAACACAGATGTCCAAGGGCATAGAGGCCAAGGAGGAGAGGGGAGACATCTGGAAGGCAGTCTGTAGCCCAAGGGCAGAATCTTTGGGGGCATTTAGGATGCTACTTTCTTCACTAGGTGTCCAGTGACCATGGCACAACCCTGGGGGCAGAGAAAGTTACAGACCCAAAGGGCATCACAGCAGGGGGGACATGCTGGGGCCTGCAGTCCAATAAAAGGCCAAAAATCTGGCTCTGGTAAGGACAGAGGTTCCTGAAGACCTGCTCTGCCTTTAGCTAGCGGTCTGGGTAGCCTGGTCTGGCATGCAACTAACTACCCATTACCAAGAGGAAGGACCTAGAGCATATGAACCAAGAAAGTGATGCCATACTGTTTAATCTCTACTTATCTGAGCATAATGTCTGTAATTTTGTATCTCCTCAATTCAAATATTTTGCTTGGCTTGTTTCCTTTTGAAATATCCTGATGTTGTAGGGTCTGAACCAGAGCAAAAAGACAGTCATTCCCAGTTAGACCAGGAGAACACTCCCAGGGACCAGGTCTGGGGGTGGCAGATCTGATTGGTGGAAAATAGAGCAGAGAGGGAAACCAGTGGCAGCTGTGACTGTTGACTGCTTTGGGGGAGGGAGCAGAACAGTGAGAGATGTGAACATTTAGCTTCCACTTATGTGTTGAAATTATCATTGAGCCAAAAGGGAAAACAAAAGTAAAAGGATAAAGAGCTACCAAGGAAGAAAGATGGATTGATGTAGGTACGGTCCATCCAAACACAAATCTCTAATACCTTTCCTGTGGAATGGGCAAGAGCAGTGTCTTGTTAATTTCTAATGTCCTCCATGGCATCCAGCACAGAGCCCTGCATTTCTGTGCTTTATATTTGTCAAATGAATGGCAAAAGGCTCCCTTAAAGTCCTGCTCCAATGACTCACAACCCTTAGTGTCTGAAGTTCTTATCTCTATCTTTCCTAAACCACTCCTCTTGCAGTTTCATCCCTAATTTGCAGGGGGACATGAGTCAGAGGGCAGCAGAAGGGACCAGATTTTTACCTTTATTTATACTTTTACTGCTCCAGGGTAAATAATCCCAGTCATCGCCAATTCCTTAAGCAATTCCAGGTGCTATCTCCCAATTCTCTAATCACAAAATTCTTGGCTCAAGTGATTTTTAAAAGTTTCAATCGTCCATCTAGTTATAATGATCCCACCAACCCAGACAAGATGGACGAGCATCTGTTAACATGCCAGAAAGCTTCTCTCTATCCAGTATGGACCATCCCCGCTACAGTACAAGGAAAGGAATCCAAAGTTCCCAGGCCCCTCCTACCGAAGAATCCTCTCGAACTCATCTCGATCCCGTTGCACCTGAACAGCCAGAGCGTGCTCCTTGAAAGCCACCTGTTCGAGCCGACTTTTCCGCAGCTCGGCCTCTGTTTCCATCTTCTTCTGCGCATTTTCCTTTTCCTTTCTGCGCCACTCTCTGTCTGCAACCTCTTGGTTGCGCTTGGCCCGCAAGGCATCCTGGGAAAGTTGGCAGGGGACCAGTGAGGGCACAATATAGCTGGAAGTACAGACCAAGTGCCTTTAAGAAGACACCTACTTACAGACTCTGACAGTCTGCTTTGAAAAGCACCATGAATTTCTCTGGCAGCTAGTTATTCTAGGAAAGGATAAATGGAATCCTGTCATCAAACTTTTGGGTTAGAAGATAACCTGAGGGGTCATCTTGTTCTTCCAACCCACTCATCCCAGTTCTTTCCCTGTACCTCAGACATCTCCAGGCAGTCTTGAAATCACTTCTAATTTTAAAAACTGCTAATGATGGAGATACCACAGTTGCCCCTGGTGACACATTTCATTGGTTGGTTAAGGTTGAAAGTTTTTCTTTATGGAGCAGTGAAAAACTTTCTCTTGAACCTTAAGCACATGCTGCACTGCCCAATCCCTGCTGACACAGGCCTTGGGAGCAGACCCACCCTTTCCTTCTCAGACTACTGAAGTCTAAGTAACTTGCATCCTTTCCTCCACATCTCCACCCTCGAGGCCATTCTACAGGCTATCAAAGGGATGGACAGGCAAGGGAGTGGGAAAAGTAGAGGGAAGTTGAGACTAAGCAGGTACCTGTTCTGCCTGGTAATCCTGGGCCTTCTCCTGCATGGCCCTCAGGCGGGCGATCTCCTTCTCTTTCTCCCTCCGGATTCTCTCCTGCTCAGCCTCAAACTCTGCTTCTCGAGCCTGCCGGAAGGAAAGACCTTGTAGAACAATTGCCATTGCCCCAGCCTTGCAGAGTGAAATAAAACCCCTACAACAGACTTTCCAATATCCCCCATACCACTTCCTGACTCCTTTTAAAATAGGACAAAATGAGGCCAGGCACCATGACTCATGCCTATAATCCCAGCACTTTGGGAAGCTGAGGCAGGAGGACTGCTTGAGCCCAGGAGTTCAAGACCAGCCTAGGCCACAGAGAAAAACTCTGTCTGTACTAGAAATCTAAAAATTAGCCAGGCATGGTGGCATATGCCTATAGTCCCAGCTACTCGGGAAGCTGAGGTAGGAGGATTGCTTGAACCTAGGAAGTCGAGGATGCAGTGAATCATGATTGCATTACTGCATTCCCCTGGGCAACAGAGCAAGACCTTGTCTCAAAATAAATAAATAAATAAATAAATAAATAAATAAATAAATAAATAAATAAGGTAAAATGAATTTAGCAATGCATGAACATAAAAACAATTAGCATTTATAAAATGCTTTATTGTTTACAAAACACTGTCCTATGTGTTATCCTGGAGAGCCCTCACAACATTTCATGAGACAGATATTATAGATGAGGAAACTGATGCTCGGAAAGGTCAAGGGTCTTGCCCAAGATTGCACAGGAAGTAAACTACCTAACAGGATTTGAACACAGGTACCCTGACCCTGGCTTTCACACTCCTTCCACTATGTCATAGACAATTTTCAAGTTGCAAGGCTACTGGGCCAAGAAACAACTGTGGTTCTTTGCCTGGCTTGTAAAGTACAGCAGGTGGAGGTTACCTCATTAGTGCCTGGGCAAAGAGCCAACCATGCTTTGGGCAGTCCCACAGTGGTTACCAGATACTTAAAGAATGAACCATCAAAATTAGCTCCCTTTCCACCTCTCTGAAAAAACACACATATCCTTAAAAGCTTCCCAAGCCCAGCTTCCCAACTGCCATCCTTAAGCCATCATAAGATGAATGGTGCAGGTTGGAGGGAAATGTGACCTTAATAAAGAATCCTCCCAGCCCAGCATGGTGGCTCACACCTGTAATCCCAGCACTTTGGGAGGCTGAGGCAGGCAGATGACGAGGTAAAGAGATCAAACCAGTTGGGGCCAACATGGTGAAACTG